TAGACTTACGACTGTCATAGTGTTAAGGTGATTGTAACTACAATACTTTAACATAGATTTACGACTGTCATAGTGCTAAGGTGATCGTAACTCCAATACTTTAACATAGACTTACGACTGTCATAGTGTTAAGGTGATCGTTACTCCAATACTTTAACATAGACTTACGACTGTCATAGTGTTAAGGTGATTGTAACTACAATACTTTAACATAGATTTACGACTGTCATAGTGTTAAGGTGATCGTAACTGCAATACTTTAACACAGATTTACAACTGTCGTAGGACTAAGGTGATCGTAACTCCCATACTTTAACATGGACATACGACTGTCGTAGCACTACGATCGCCTTGTAGAACAGGGCCCTGGATAGTTTCTGAATGCCTTTCAAGTTGGCATGCTTTTGTATTGAACCCAAGTTATTCCACAATCCAGAAGTTGAGGGTACAAAATCACAATAATTGTTGATTCTGCAACTAATTTCTTGCAAGTTTTGCATTACATAAGTCTGGATTCCTGGTATTTTTCTTAGCACTGGTAGAGTTAGGTAAGGTGGGGCTAATGAAGTTTTCAATTCATATATACGTATGTGTCTAACATGTCTGGTTTATACAGTACATATTTTCAACACTTTCAATAAACGGGCTGGATCAACAGTTCACAGGCCTGTACAAACATATCTCCCCACTGATAATCCTGATGTGTGAGGGGCGGTCGGGTAGCCTAGTGGTTAAAGCGTTCGCTCGTCACGCCGAAGACCTGGGTTCGATTCCCGACATGGGTACAATGTGTGAAGCCCATTTCTGGTGTCCCCCGCCGTGATATTGCTGGAATATTGCTAAAAGCGGCGTAAAACCAAACTCACTCACTCACTGATGTGTGACAGGCAGGCTTGATACCGGTAATACACTCCAAGCATCACATTTAACATATCACTGGTTCACAATTAATATCATAAACAACAAGATTTATCAATAACTGTAAAGGTCATGATAATACAAAACTGTAGCCAGAGGTCAGAAATTGATGCACAGAATATTTGTTGAATGCCATTGACTGGTGAATTATGCTAAAGGCCTGTGGGCAGTCCATTTTCCGTGTGTAACGGTGTGTTTAAATTATATTTTCTCTTAAGGTTCTTTAACTGAGAGGCAATGCCTGAAAACCAGCCAGAACCATGGCTATTATTTTCACTAGGATTTTACCAGGCTGAATAGGAGAACAGTACAACAAAGGACAAGGTCACACAAATAAATCCCCCTGTAACACGGCATGGATGTGGGTACTGAGGCCACCCGGAACCTGACTGAAATCACACCTCCACACTTCTTTAACCCATTCAGTTTGATGTGTCACGGGCTAGTTGCGTAGGGCCAGTTTGAGGTGTCGTGAGTTAGTTGTTGTCTGATGGTGTAGGGACAGTTTGAGGTGTCACGAGCTAGTTGTCATTTGGCATTGTTGGGCGGGTTGGAGGTGTAATTGTCTGATGGTGAAGGACAGCAACATAAACCGTAGTGAGAAGGATTAACTCCCTGGATAATCTGCAGATTAGGGGAAGCAGATCAAAGATGGGAATGTAAATGAGACCAGAGGACACAGATTTCGCCAAAACGACATTATGAACCTTATTATTTTTCCTTCTGTCAAGCCCTGACTATACTGTAATGCTATTACTCTAAATGAAGCAAGTCTAGATTTTTCATAGGTTCTGAAATTCCCATCACACTGAGGCTCCTTTTGAAAAAATTTAGTTGCTTGTTTCTATTTAATTATATATTTTCAAAGACTAAGCAACAGTCTGATGGTATTCCTTACTACTGGGGCACAAGGTATAATGAGCATTCATTAAGTGGTTAGAAAAATATTTTCATTTCAATCTTTGCTGCAGTACAGAGTAATTAAAATATTCGACTGATAGTAAGAAAATCTGCACATGGAACTTGAATACTATCATTGACTTTATCATTTACTATCCCCAAATTAGAATCCCAGAACTAGCCAATATTTCATACATCAGTTCGAAAATTGGCAGACAGGTAGATGTGAGGTGAAATGGGGTTTAACGTCGAGTTCAAGATTATTGCACTTACGTAGCGACGTGCATACATGTGTGTGGTTCTGCTTGTACTAGTCTGACCGCCTCCGTGGTCTAGTGGTAGAGCGCCCGCCAGGAGAGCGGAAGGTCCGGGGTTCGATCCCCGGCCGCGTCATACCAAAAGACTTTAAAATATGGTACTTGTTGTTACCCTGTCTGGCGCTCGGCATTAAGGGGCTAAACAAGGACTGGTCGGCTCGGAGTATACTGTGTCTGAGTGGGGTATTCATGTTAAACTGCGGCATGGTATCTCAGAGTGCTAGCACTATAAATCGGTATCAGTCCGGACAAGTACAAGCAGCCACACATACACACACATGCATGCACGTCGCTATATAAGTGCAATAATCTTGGACGCAACGTTAAACCCAATTTCACCTCACCTTGTACTAGTCCATGTTCGAAGATCAAACCTGGACCTTCTGTTATCTGGTCGGCTGCTCTAACACTAGACAACAGAGGCGGTCCCATACAGGTAGAACTGTTCCAATACACACTTATACATACATAAGGATGCAGTTCCATAGAAGAGATTGTCATGACTCTAATCTCATCTTGAAATAATGATGCAGTGGTTAGCTGAATGTGTGTTTTAGTGTGCCACAGGTAAATCTGTCGAGGTGAATGTCTACCTGTAACACATGGCAGGTGAAACAACATGGAACATATTGTAATCAACGTGGAACAGAAATGTAGAAGGTTTGGTGTAAATGAATCAGGGATAGGTATTGTACACATATGTCAGGTACGTATCTACCTGTACAGCACACCTGGCAGGTGTAAAGGATATTGTAATCAACAGGTACGTACATCAGAATTATAAGGTGTGAAGTGAAGTGCACGGGGGGAGGGAGGGATGTACACATATGTCAGGTACGTATCTACCTGTACAGCACACCTGGCAGGTGTAAAGGATATTGTAATCAACAGGTATGTACATCAGAATTATAAGGTGTGAAGTGAAGTGCACGGGGGGAGGGAGGGATGTACACATATGTCAGGTATGTATCTACCTGTACAGCACACCTGGCAGGTGTAAAGGATATTGTAATCAGCAGGTATGTACATCAGAATTATAAGGTGTAAAGTGCACGGGGGGAGGGAGGGATGTACACATATGTCAGGTATGTATCTACCTGTACAGCACACCTGGCAGGTGTAAAGGATATTGTAATCAGCAGGTATGTACATCAGAATTATAAGGTGTAAAGTGCACGGGGGGAGGGAGGGATGTACACATATGTCAGGTACGTATCTACCTGTACAGCACACCTGGCAGGTGTAAAGGATATTGTAATCAACAGGTATGTACATCAGAATTATAAGGTGTGAAGTGAAGTGCACGGGGGGAGGGAGGGATGTACACATATGTCAGGTATGTATCTACCTGTACAGCACACCTGGCAGGTGTAAAGGATATTGTAATCAGCAGGTATGTACATCAGAATTATAAGGTGTAAAGTGCACGGGGGGAGGGAGGGATGTACACATATGTCAGGTATGTATCTACCTGTACAGCACACCTGGCAGGTGTAAAGGATATTGTAATCAGCAGGTATGTACATCAGAATTATAAGGTGTAAAGTGCACGGGGGGAGGGAGGGATGTACACATATGTCAGGTATGTATCTACCTGTACAGCACACCTGGCAGGTGTAAAGGATATTGTAATCAGCAGGTATGTACATCAGAATTATAAGGTGTAAAGTGCACGGGGGGAGGGAGGGATGTACACATATGTCAGGTATGTATCTACCTGTACAGCACACCTGGCAGGTGTAAAGGATATTGTTATCAGCAGGTATGTACATCAGAATTATAAGGTGTAAAGTGCACGGGGGGAGGGAGGGATGTACACATATGTCAGGTATGTATCTACCTGTACAGCACACCCGGCAGGTGTAAAGGATATTGTAATCAGCAGGTATGTACATCAGAATTATAAGGTGTAAAGTGCACGGGGGGAGGGAGGGATGTACACATATGTCAGGTATGTATCTACCTGTACAGCACACCTGGCAGGTGTAAAGGATATTGTAATCAGCAGGTATGTACATCAGAATTATAAGGTGTAAAGTGCACGGGGGGAGGGAGGGATGTACACATATGTCAGGTATGTATCTACCTGTACAGCACACCTGGCAGGTGTAAAGGATATTGTAATCAGCAGGTATGTACATCAGAATTATAAGGTGTAAAGTGCACGGGGGGAGGGAGGGATGTACACATATGTCAGGTATGTATCTACCTGTACAGCACACCTGGCAGGTGTAAAGGATATTGTAATCAGCGGGTATGTACATCAGAATTATAAGGTGTAAAGTGCACGGGGGGAGAGAGGGATGTACACATATGGTGTACTAATCCTTTGACAGGTGTAGTAGGCAGTTCAAAGGAAGCATGCACCTCACTCCTTGTTGAGTGTAATTCAAGTGTGTCATTTCATATATACTTAAAAAAAAATTAATCAAAAATCAAAATCTAACTTTTTTACTATTTTCATTTATTTGTCCTTATTTGTTGGTATTTGGTTTGATCTTTCCAAAATAGTAACTTCCCTGCAGGGTAACTAAAACAGATCAACAATAGTTTGTTTGAAGAGTAATCTGTGTTGGTGTATTGTTTTACTCGCCCGTCCAGTGAAGATCCAGGGTAGAATAGGTCTTCAGCAACCCATGCTTGTCGAAAGAGGCGACTTACGAGATCAGGTGGTGAGGTTCTCTGACTTGGTTGATGCATGTCATTGTATCCCAATTTCTTAGGTCGATGCTCATGATGTCAATCACTGGATTGTCTGGTCCAGACTCAATTATTTACAGACCACTGTTATATAGCTGGAATATTGCTGAGTGTGGCATCAAACAAACAAACAAACAAACAAACAAACAAATAAACAAATCTTACTCTCCCAGTGCAGCAGGAGTTGTTTAGCTGGCGAGGTGCTGCTGGGGACCAAGTCCCGCGGGGACCGGCCGTGGTTGTCGCGGGCGTACACGTTGGCTCCATGCTCCAGGAGAAGAGACAGAAACTCACAGTCCTGGAGCCGGGCTACGTCATGGATCGGCATCTTGTGGATCTGACGAGTATTAACGTCGGCACCTGTGGAGATGTTTACTCATGATCACAATCATTGGACAGAAAGAAACCGGCCAGGTTCCAAGGGAGAAGTCATTATTCTATAACAGTCAAGTAATTCACAACTCAATTTAAACACACACCCCGGTCACTCCCCCCCTCCCCCCACCCTATTTCTCCATGACACCTGGCGTCATCAGTGCTGTTCCATTCCTACAATTTTCATCACTACTTTATTTTCTTACACCCTATGGAATATGTTTCGGCAGATAATGACTGAGTGAGTTGGGTGTGATGCCGCTTTTAACAGTATTCCAGTTATATCGCGGCGTGTCAGCTTAATGTGGGAGGAAAGCCTGAAGTGATGCAGGTCTCAGACGTTTACCACTTCGGTGAAACCCACGAGCACGGGTATGGTGCTGACAAACCTAGAAACATAATTGGGGCGAACTGGGAATCGAACCCACAATCATAGGTTTCGGGTGTGCCCAAGGGACACAGCACTGTACAGCACAATCGCGGCGCCTTAGACGACTGGGCCACCTGTGCCCCCCTTCTGCAGATAATCACGACTGATTCCCCCCTGAAGTTGATGTTTTATATCCAGTGGCATGTACCCTGTGTTTCCCCACAGAAGAAAGGCTCGATAACGCTTTTAAAATATATTTGTTTCTTATGACCACTCCCTTTAACTTTCCCCCACATTTATTGGAAAGAGTTTAATCACTGTTGCGAAAATGACTCTTGAACATAAATTTTGTTCTTGCACTGGAATTGTATTCATAGTGCATTATATTTAAGGGGGCCCTAGCCCTGATCACCATGAACTCCTGTTTTGAGATGCAGGGGGAGTAGTCACAAGATATCATATGGAACATCAGAACCAGTTTACTTTCTAAATTTGTAATCTATCCAAAAAAATAAAATACAGAAACAAAATCCTCCACACAAGAATTAAGAATACTTTTTTAAACAATCCTCATCCCATTGATGTCAAACTGCCGCAAGGAGAAATCATAAATCCCTTTTATTACCGAGGATGCCACCATCTGAGTAGGTTGATGGACAAAGGGAGATAACTTCTCCATTGTTGTACTGATCTGAATAAATAACACTATTGGCTCACTTACATTGTTTAGTGAGAAATTTATTGGGCAGATGGCCTCTTTTCTGTTTAAGTTTGGAAAATATGCTACTTGGGTGTCCTTGAACAGAAGCAGAGTGCCTGTAGAGAGTGTTTTTAAAATGAAGTGGCTGTTGCCTTATATTGGACATGCACACAACTGTAATCATGGCAACAGTGTAAGTTGTAGCAGGATCACTCGGGGGACATGTGGTTTTATGTGTCCCACATGGAAGCATAAAACCACATGTACCCCGAGTCATCCTGCCACAACAAATTTATCTTACCGACATGTTTTTATCTGCCATTGTAAAAGAACAAAAACAAATTCAAAATTGATATAAAACTGATGTTTAATTGAGCTGAAGTTAACTTGTGCTATGTCAGATGAAAAAGCGGGTATAAGGGATTTATTCTCCCTCCCAGGGGGCACGGGTGGCCCAGTCATCTAAGGCAACGCGATTTGGTGTGCAGGGTTGCGTCCCTTGGGCACGCCAGAAACCTATGATTGTGGGTTCAAATCCCGGTTCGCCCTGATTATGTTTCTAGGTGTGTCAGCACCATACCCGTGCTCGTGGGTTTCACCGTGGTAAAAGTCCTAGACCTGCATCACTTCGGGCCTTCCTGCCACATTAAGCTGACACGCCGTGATATAACTGGAATACTGTTAAGAGCGGCGTTAAACCCAACTCACTCACTCACTCACTCACTCACTATTCTCCCTCTCAGAAATCCATGTGCAGCCTGTGTTTTTCCTGGTGGGGTATAAGGGATTTATTCTCCCGCTCAGAAATCTATTACCCTCCTAGGCAGGATACATAGTATTTTATCAAAGTCACGTGAACTATTCAGATCTCATCATTCTGACATTGAGGTATGATAGTGTTGCTTACAAAACATACACCAAACTTAAGCAAGGCTTTTACTATATTCTGTACAGTGTGTAGGAGGCTTTTATCATTTTGCACAAATGTGTACAAGGCTGTTTAAGTTTGGTACAAATGTGTACAAGGTTATTATTTTTATGTGTGTACAACTCAGTTATTACTTTTTACAGCTAAAATGGATAGTATTATGATTAAACCGCCCGCATGTCATCAGAAATGAGCGGGCCACTGTAACTTGATGATGCCCTCATATTGCTTGACGATGGGCCATTATCACGCCCGTTGGTAGGTGACATCATAAGGAGTCAGTTTTTGACGTCATCTGGTTTGTTCTATGACGTTGCTATATTTGTAAAAGTGGGTCAGTGACATTCATTGTGTGTTGATTGTAGTAAATGTTTCAAAACCGATGTTGTTGTTTACTTCTATTTGATAACAAATTCTTTCCATTTTAGCTATAATAACGGTAATGCTATATTTCAGGGCATTATTATTTGCAGAATCCCTCGGTCTTTTCAACTGCCTTCCTTCATAGGGCAGCTAATGGTAAGACCTTGGGCGTCTGCAAATGATAATGCCCTGAAATATAGCGTTACCCTTATAGTACAAATGTGTACAAGGCTGTTATGATTCGCACAAATGTGTACAAGGCTGTTATGAGTTGTACAAATGTGTACAAGGCTGTTATGATTTGTACAAATGTGTACAAGGCTGTTATGATTTGTACAAATGTGTACAAGGCTGTTATGAGTTGTACAAATGTGTACAAGGCTGTTATGATTTGTACAAATGTGTACAAGGCTGTTATGAGTTGTACAAATGTGTACAAGGCTGTTATGAGTTGTACAAATGTGTACAAGGCTGTTATGATTAGTACAAATGTGTACAAGGCGGTTGATGTGTGAAGATCTGCATCTCACCTGCTAGTAGCAGCACCTCGGCACAAGCCTGGTTGCCCTTGTATGCAGCAACATGCAGCGGGGTGCCGTAATGACAGTCCGTCGCATTCAGATTAGCCCCCGCATCGAGTAGAACACTGGCACACTGCCAATTATCTGTTTAAAAGTAAACAAAAAAATGTATTAACTTCATAAGACAAAACAAACCTGTCTGTATCTAGAATCTCTGTAAGGCCCCTGTTTTCATTTCTAGCACCTGGTATCCACACAATCAGGGCAAATATAAGTCGTTCAATGTACAGCTAGGCTATAGTCTGGAAGGTAATTTAAGGTACCGACGTTTACTACAATATCTGAAAAACTATTGGACCTACTCCAGTCAAAGTTGGTATGAGATTATTAAACAGTCATACATAACTGGATATTACATTTAAAGACAATCGGTGCATGAATAAAAAATCTGTGTATTTAGCTATCACTATATTTCATCAACAACCAGACCTGTTCATCACGGGTGGAACGAGCTTTCATTGAAACAGCCATCTGCATAATGCTACCCCTGCGTCACAGGGCCATATGACACAGTTGAACCAATCAACTCAACTCGAAAGGGTGCACGGGAATCACGCACGTTGAGACGCCCAACGCTAACACCATATTCGTGCGTGCGTGATTCCCGTGCACCCTTTCGAGTTGAGTTGATTGGTTCAACTGTGTCATATGGCCCTGTGACGCAGGGGTAGCATTATGCAGATGGCTGTTTCAATGAATGCTTCAGTTAATGAAGCACTAGTAAAATCATGAGAGCTATCTTTAGTACCCAACAGTTAATTTTTTACTAATAATTCTTAAAAAAATATAAAAACATAGGAATATATGTAATTAATTCTTATTTAATTAACAGAATAATTTCTGATACCAATATCATGGACCAGTAACAAGCATGATGTTCATAATTAAGCTATAATGTTATCAAAAGACTACACGTAAATGTCACATGTACACACACCTACCTCTAAGAACTGCTTCGTGTAGCGGTGATGACAGCAGTAGCGGAGGATTGACATCGGCGCCATGTGACAACAACAGATGGACAACCTCTATGTCACCATAACAACAAGCGTCGCAGAGAGGGGTGGCACCATCTATATTACGTGCGTTAACCTAAATGAAGTAGAAAGTTTTAAAGGATTGTAGAAAATGTCTTAGAGCAATTCTATATCTGATAGACTCACTACTGTACTAACACGTGATTAGACAATTACAACAGCTTGATGAAGATAACACTTCAAGATAAAAACTTCGCCTCTGTTGCCCATTCATTGCTTAGTTGATTACACTGCCAGGTAAATATTTCACATCAGTTATGTAGAAATCAACTAAAAATCTTCAAACTTGATTTATGACTAATAATTTAATAACACTTTGTGACTGGTGATTTATTACATTATTTCCTTATGACCAGGCAAACTGACCATGGCCCCTTTGTCCAGGAGAATCTTGATGACTTCCTGTCTCCCATACAAGCATGCATGATGGAGTGGGGTGACCAGATCAAACGTTTGATGATTCACAAAGAAGTCCTTCTCCTCAGTGAGATGTCGGACCACATCGGCCTTGCCCTGCCGTGCAGCTTCATGGAGGGGGTAGCTGTATGTTGTTACTGTTACAACAACAAAATCAGGCTCACATTTGGGTTTCAATGATCGATGTCATGGTTTTACCGGAAACAAAACGTTGTGGCCTATACGGATAAGAATTGAGAATGGGCTATCTTCCCAAGGCAAGGGCGTAACCTGACCATAAAAGTCCAGTTTCCACCCTTGCTGAACTAGGCTAGAATTCTGTTGCTCGATCTTAACGCCACTAGCACCTATTACGAGTTATGTCCCTTCTATTGATCATTCAGACTCCATCTCTCATATCACTTGCATTTGCTTCAAACAAAATGGTGGTGCCTAGTCAAGACGATTGATTGATAATCAAGATCTATATTGCAATAAAACAGGTCCTACCTCGCGAAGTACATCAACTCACTTGAGCACCTGGATTAAAAACATGAATAGATTTGAAAAATATCTGTAAACCCCCTGTTGACGGTACACATACTGTGCAAATCCTGCAGTCGACCAACTGCACTGGAAAATCCATGTTGTATATGAACAGTATGTCTTGTTTGTTACCCGATTTTGATTGGACCATGCATAGACTTGTTTGTCCAGCCAAAATATAACTCTGGAATTCCAGTCCTGTTTGCTATGGGTAGAAACGGGACTTTTGCAGTCAGTTAACTCCCTTGCCTCGGGAAATTGAGAATGAATGGAAATGATTGACACGTCATGTCCTGAGGCACCCTGTAGGCTGTTTGATTCCTTAAATTTATCAAAACTGCACATTGCATGTTATGCATTTCTGTTCTGGTATAAAAGATTGCTGTTTGTTTGTTTGTTGTTTAATATTCCACAATATTCCAGCTATATGATGGCGGTCCGTAAATATACGAGTTTGGAACAGACAATCCGGTGATTGACATCATGAGCATCGATCCATGCAACTGGGATACAATGATATGCATCAACCAAATCTGTGGGCCTTACCTCCTGATCCTGTCGCCTCTTACGACAAGCATATGGTATGAAAGACTCTCAAAGTTCAGGGTGTCAGTGGTTAATATTCTTCAATCTGCCAATCTGACATATAGAATGTTTGGAAAGTGCACCATTTGGGACCTTCCTGTTCATGCCTTTGATCCAACGAAATGTATGTTTGTTGTTTTGTTTGTTGTTTAAAACTGCACTCAGCAGTATCAGCAGTATTACAGTGGTTTTTAAATAATTGATTCAGAACCAGACAATCCAGTGATTGAAATCATGAGCAGTTGGGATACGATGACATGCATGAACCACGCCAAAGAGTGTGACCACCCGCTTCCGTTAGTCGCCTCTTATGACAAGCATGCATCGCTAAAGGCCAATTCTAACCCAGATCTTCAAGGGTTTCCAAATTTATGACTGAGAGTTCCCGGCAATAATGAATATTCTCAGTTACAAAAGAGAAATAGAACGTCACAAGCATCTACAAACTAAAGGGGGTACTATAGAAGGAAGATTTGTGTTTTGTGTGGGTTTTCTTTTGTAAAGATATATTAAACCAATATCACAGTGCAGATATTGGTTTAATATACATTCAGTGGAAAAGACTGCAAAAACGATTATTCAAACAATTATATACATTAACATGCAACATTGGAATACATAGGCTAAATGTACACTGACAAGCCAAACAGACATCAGAACCCGTGAGACACCCTCAAAACTGAGGGTTTGATTTGAGGAGACGATTTTGACAGTGCAGTCAATAGAGTCGAGGATAATTTATTTGAAATGAACACATAAATGTTTAATTTTTTACTAGAATGACTAAAAATTATTGTTCTGCTTAATCTACACGTAAATATTGTGAAGATAACAGAGGAAATGAGGGATTTCTTACACCGGACGCACGCTTCCCTTTTCTCTGTCAATGTCGGGCTCAATCAGTCAATGAACCGCAGATCTAGACATATGCCAGACGGAGAGGATTTGCAACGTACTTACTAAATTCTTGAACATCTGCCTCAATTTCATGACAGAAATGTGTCATTTTGATTTGATCTCCAAATACAGTTGATGTGGTAGTTATTGATAAAGATGTAGCTGTCAGTGTTTATTTACATCGGCGGTTGAAGGTTGTGGATGGTCGGTTTCGGAGAAGGGGAGGCAACTCCTGCGGTGCTAAATTTTAACATTTCAACCCTTATGCACCCGAGTTTCTGGTTCGATCCTCGTATTGTCACATTTTCAATAAAATAAAAGTACAAAACAAAACAACTGCCTCTGTGTGTCACTTGGATATTTTATGTCTATATTTGTATTAATATCTTTAGAACACAGTCAAAGATATTTTAATGATGTGAAGGATAAACTGTGTCATAAACGTAAACTTCTTTTCAATATTGAAGATAAAGCTAATCACTTAATTTTGACGCCTTATGAAATTTAAGCCCTCTTGTGGTCATGTGTGAAGTATTACCAGGGAAGCAAAAAAGCAAAATGTTTCAGGACGAAAGATCATGGGAGACTAAACATGGCATGTCTATTTGGACACTGTGACCACATAAGCCCTCTGGAAATAACGTCTCCTTCTGGATCTCCGCTTGTGTCCGTTATCAATCGCCATCTTTCTCCGAATGAACACTTAAGTTCCCATGTAGGCTAACTTAAGTTTTATGTGGTTTCAAACTCAGTTTGAGTAAAAAATTGAACTCAGTTTATTTTGAGAAATGCATTTTGCTGATTTGTCTCACATGTGAGTAAAAACTCAGACTTAAGTCAGTTTTTTAACTAAAGTTTGTTTTGAGAAATCGGGGCCTGATGAGATGAGCATGCGTTAGACTTCTGCTAAACAGCAGCCATGTTGTGAGCAAGGGGCGAGTGAGTTGGGTTGAAAGCTACTTTGAACAGTATTTCAGTTATTTAACATCCTGTCAGGTTGTTGTGGGGTGGTCGGGTAGCCTTGTGGTTAAAGCGTTCGCTTGTCACACTGGAGACCCAGGTTCGATTCCTGACATGGGTACAGTGTGTTAAGCCCATTTCTGGTGTCCCCCTTCGTGATATTGCTGGAATATTGCTAAAAGCTGCGTAAAACCAAACTCACTCACTCACTCTGGCTGTTGTGAGAGTGAGTCAGGTCTTGAGACATTTACAACTTTTTGAAATGCACAAGCATGAGTATGGCATGGACAAACCGAGAAACATCAGGGCAAACCCGGGATTAGAACCCATGACCATATTTCTGGCATGCCTAAGGGACACAACTCTGCACAATGAACTGTTGGGCCTCAAGACAACTAAGCAGCTAGTGTCCTCCATGCTGTAAGTCTGATGATGTATATGAACTGTGTTGTTTATGCACACTGTAATAAAACTGCACCTGATACCCTATTCCTGCTTCTCAATCCATCTGACCCGTGAAGGTCCAGGGTAAAATAGATCTTCAGCAACCCATTCTTGCTGTAAGTCTGATGATGTATATGAACTGTGTTGTTTATGCACATTGTAATAAAACTGCACCTGATGCCCTATTCCTGCTTCTCAATCCATCTGACCCGTGAAGGTCCAGGGTAAAATAGATCTTCAGCAACCCATTCTTGCTGTAAAAGGCGATGATGTGAACTGTGTTGTTTATGCACACTGTAATAAAATTGCACCTGATGCCCTATTCCTGCTTCTCAATCCATCCGACCCGTGAAGGTCCAGGGTAGAATAGATCTTCAGCAACCCATTCTTGCCGTAAAAGGTGACTATGTATTGGAGAAAACACACTTACGAGGTTTTGGTAGACAGAGCATGCCCTGGGGAGAGGGAAAAACCAAGGCGGCGAAGCCCCCGCAGTTTTTCCCGACCCCAGGGCATGCTCTGTCTACCAAAACCGAGGGAAAGTGTTTTTCCATGCTTATAAACCGAAAAAAGAAACTTAAAACAACATTTATCAACATTTTTATGTTTCGAACATACTTTCTGTGAACCTTAGGAAACGCGCGTAAAATATCTGTTGTCTGGCGTACGGATCTTGAAAAGGACATTCTAAAAACAAGTGTGGCTTATCCAACACCTCTGTAGCCTCGTGGTACACTCACTAGTTCGATCCTCGGGAATATAAAGAAAACATTTGTCGTTTGATTTTACATTTCATAACATCTTACAATCTGAACGGAAGTTACATTAATAAAATACCCAGGACATAATATAAAATCCCTGGGATATTACAGCAAATATGACTTGAATATCCTATAAAATCCCAGGGACATTACAACGTCCCTGTTTATGAGATTTAACCCGACTGGAAAGTAAAACCTCATAATAGGTTTTAATGCCTATAGAAAGAAGTCTCTTACTTAATAGTGATCCCAATGAATAGGTTTATAAGCTTGTCATAAGAGGCTACTAACTGGACCGGGTGGTCAGGTTCGCTGAATTGGTTGACTCATGTCATCGTATCCCAATTGTGTGGAACCCGTGAAGATCCGGGGTAGAATAGGTATTAGGCAACCCATGCTTGCCGTAAAAGGCGACTATGCTTGTCGAAAAAGGCAACTAACAGGATTGGGTGGTCAGGCTCGCTGACTTGGTTGATGCATGTCATCGATCCCAATTTCGTGGATTGATGCTCACAATATAAATCACTGGATGGATTGTCTGGTCCAGACTCGATTATTTACAGACCGCCGTCTTATAGATGGAATATTGCTGAGTGTGGCGTAAAACAACAAACCAACCAACCAACCGAATTGCGTGGATCAATGCTCATGATGTAAATCACTGGATTGTCTGGTCTAGACTTGATTATTTATAGACCGCTGTCTTATAGCTGGAATATTGCTGAGTGCGGCGTTAAACAACAAACAAACAAAATCTCAATCCATCTGTACTTCTTTATGCACAGAAAACAAACACCAACATTTATGACCAGATTTTATTGCCTCTTCACGCAGTGCAAGCACATCTCTCAGATTAAAAACAAACTTAACCACAGAAAATGAACAACAAATATTTGACAAGTCATGGTCTAATTTTCAGCACCTCAGGGGTTCATGTAATGCTAAACATGTCATTACTCATCCGAGGCCTGGAGTACAGTAATAATCGTCATGAGGGCCCACGTACACAGGAAGACTTTCTCCAGCAGCATAGCTGGAAAGGTGTGTAAACAAGGGGCCTTACTTCAGATTTATTTCTTTACAGGTGCCCCAGACAAATAATGACTATTTTGCATCCAGTGTTTGAAATAGCTGCTAACCTCATATCCTGTGGCTAGCAGGGTGCATGGTATAAAGCGATCTTAGTGCTAAGGTGATCGTAACTCCCATACCTTAACAGACTTACGACACTCTGGACTAGTAATCTCTGTCCTTATATCACTCTGTCATGCAATATATGACCCCCACCTGTTGACATTGCTAAAGTTTATCTTCATAAAGTATATCATCCAGGGCTAGTACATATTCTTGCAGGCTAGTACAAATTTCCCAATTTCCCCATTGTTTTTACATTACAAGGGCATTTTATCTTTACCTGGGCTAGTAAAGCTTTTGCGTTTAGTTCTAACCCTGTGTATGGTTATAACAAACATGCATGAAGCAGTTATAACAAAATATTTCAGTCACTATTATTTAATACTTATCTTCCTAACAAATTCTGTAAAAGTACATTAGTGTTCATTATAACAATGTTGGACTGTATTAGTTTATATTGGAGCAAACAGAAGATATCTTGGACTAGACACAGATTGGTGTAGGCTGGTGCTGTATGTATTCTAACAGATGCCCTAACAAACCGCATTGATTGGAGACGTACCTCTATTTCATCACGTGAAGCTTGGCACTATTCATACACTACTCAAATGAAGTGAAGGATCACCAGATATGTTCATATTACGATTGTTAATTTGCCCTGAAAAATTAACTGTAGTGAAATGAACAAACTGGGTGGTCCTTAACTTCTTTTGAGTAGTAAACATGATCTCTAAACCGAGGTCATTCATTTACTGCTGTACTAAACCCAGAGTGTATTCTTGACCAAGCCCCTGTAACACAAAACGATCTTATTGCTAAGGTGATCATAACACCTATACTTTAACATAGACATACCAGTCGTAGTGCTGAGATCAGAAGGGAAGGGATTAAATGATGTGAGATAGCAGAGTCAGAGGGTCTATATAAGATAGACTCCCTCACCTAACCAGCTGTATATTGGAGTTATCCCCTTCACTGATTGTAACACAAGTAGAGTACCATCCAAACCAGTTAACTATTAAAGTCTAAGGACTGCTCTACATATAAACCCAGTGTTTGAAATTTACCGGGTCTTGGTGATTTTGAAGTTTGCTGGCAGTGTATTTGAATTGAGGGACTATTAGTTTTACTTTCAGAAAGGAGCCCTGGGCCCACTTGCACAAAGCGATCTTAGGGCTAAGATGATCGTAACTCCCACACATTAACATAGACTTGCGATCGTCTTAGCGCTAAGATCGCTTTGTGCAAGTGGGCTCTGGACTTTTAATGAAGATGTTGCATTAGTTATAACACTCTATGTGTAGAAAAGAGGATCCACTGTTTCATATTATAGGTCACATGTTACTCTGGTGCATCCAGCCTTTGGTTGTCGATTGATGGCTTCCTTTAGTTTCAAACACTGTGAACCAAAATTAGAATGGACTGAAAATACTCAGAGTAAACTGATGAAGGAACCATCTAGTTTTCATCTGTTAATTTATCAAGTTGAAGCTATTCGTCATTTACCTGCCTCACTACTGCTGAAGACTTATCAAGCTGTTCATATTCTGTGGAGTGTTTCTTTTATAACATACAATATGCATACTACCACAGAATCAACACAATCAATTAAAACTACATTGAGCAACACAAGAAGAAAATAAATACTGAATGTATTAACAAACATAACAAAATATACAACACAAAATTTTCAACATAGAAACTACATTTATCTTTGAAGTGTGCTTTTATCACTGAAATATGATATGGTGTGACATGGAATGGCTACACGTAATTTCTTTGTTTGAACGGAAGAAACGTATATTGGAGGTTCATACAGATGAGGAACGCAACAATTCAAGGCCTTTTCTAGGCTTTCAACTGTCATTTACAAGGCTTTCTTAACTGGGTTATTACCCTAAGTATTCTTTGTAAATCCTGCATACTATATATCAGTCAT